GAACCAAACCTCTCCTCTGAACGGAGAGCAGAAAACCGCTTACTGGGGTCTGGTGGGCTGGATGCCCTTGCGGAGAAATTGATGTGGGTGCTGATAAACCCTTTGGTAGATTTTTCTTTCTCTTGCACAGACCGTAGGTGGTGTCTTAGGACTTAACCAGCATCAGGTTAGGATTGATCCATCTGTCTCAAGCTTCAGCTTCTCTTTGAGAGGGGGTAAGGATACTTCCTACAATAAGTTAAGAGGCTTGGGAGGTGTTTGCATGGTAGCTCCATAGGGTTGGGAAGATCTGGGTGGCTGAGAGCTGGACCCTCCCCGAGCCTGCTGAGCAGGTAACAAAAGAAGGGAACAGGAAGCAAATGAGGTCTCAGGAGGGATTTAATTGGCCATGCTAATCTTTGGGTTTAGGGTTTCTTGCTTTGCTACTTTTTCCTAATAAACCTCGCCCCCTTCTCTGCTGAGCGTTGCTTTGAAGAGACCTGTAACTGTCTCGGGAACCTGTGCAGGCAGTGCCTTGGCCTCTGAGGGGGAGCCAGATGATAGAAGTTTGAGCTGAAATGTTTTGTGGGGCAGAGAAGAGATTCAAGCACCACTGGCCTCTTTGCAGCACATGCTGGACTATGTAATTTGGACTTTTTCCCTCTCTGGATCGTCCCTGCTGGGCAGCAGGTCAGGTTAGGAGGAGAGATACCAATCGATCCTGCCGTCCACCAGCACTTCCCAGTCCCTGTCCTGGGCAGCCAGCACAGCCCTGCAGCTTTCGAGCCACTGTGATCGAGTTCTGGTCACGTCTCTGCTGCCGAGTCCCTGCGTGACCTTGGGGAGGTCATTTTTTTTTTTTGCTGACGTCCGAGTCTTTTGTCTGCAAAACGTGGAGGATGATTTGGTTACAACTTCACGGGTCGAAAGGCAGAACAAATCAGCTGGTGTCTTCCTGTAGCAGTGGCAGTGTGGATGAGCCCTGTGTCCCGCTGGGAGCGGCTGAGGAGCTGGCTGTCATCTCCGCTGGTACCTGTGTGTGCAGAGGCGCGGCCTTCGCTCAGCACACCGGTACCAGTCAGTGTGCTTTGGTGACTGGCAGGTGACATAAAGCACTCTGAGGTCGTTTTCCCCCCCCAGCTTGGAGAGCAGGAGGGTAATTGGAGCTGGTTCCTGCTGGTGCTCCGCCTGCGGCCGCGCGGCCCCTCGGCAGTTATGGCTGCAGGTTGCTGTAATAACGAGTCAGCGTTTCTCTTGCGTCAGGGATAATGAGCTGCTCTTCAGCCGCTGCCTCCTGGGCCCTGCCAGGAGGAAGCAGTGTCCATGGTGGAAAAGGGGGGCTGGGGACAGGCAGTAGGTGGTGGATGGGCTTCCTGCGAGGGTATTTGGGTTCAGCACTGTGAGTGTGATTGGTGGCGGAGCCCCCTTGGCAGTGAGCTTCCACAGGGAGTGGGGGGAGCAGTGGAGGGGAAATGGGGGCTCACAAATGGGGTAACCTTCCTGGACCTGTCCCAGATACCTGAATAGCAGCAGGAGCCAGATAGCCCCTGGGGAGGGGGTATGTGTGTGGATGCATCAGCTTTTCTCTTTAAATGCCCCATTTTAGCATACAGGGCTCCTCCTGTGTGTAAAAATACCACCAGGCAAAAATTGAGACTCTGTATCCACCCCCCAGCACCACCTAAAATCAGGACAACTGCCCTCAATTTAGTTATGTCTCCTGGGCTTTTTGCGCAGCAACTCTGGCTATTGGTGCTCGGAGCAAGCACCACTGTACCACATCTGCACCCTCGATTGGTGGTCCTGAAAGGGATACTCTGTGCCTGTCTTGATGCTCTGCCATGGACACCCTTGACCTTCTCCTGTTCACTCCTTCCTCTACCTCCTTTTCCTGGAAACGGGAAGAGTCGTGGAATGTGATTGTTTTCTGCTGAGATGTTGTAGGCTGTGTGGATACTGTACAGAGCTGAGGAAGGATGGTCAAGGGCTTGGGAAATAGCTGGCTCGGCAGAGCCATAGATCTCTATGGTGCAGAGATCACTGGTTCCTGTGGTGATTATAATCCCTTTGTTTAGTCACCAAGTCTTTCTCATTTTGGGCACATGCTGAGAAACCAAAGTGTCTGCATGCAAGAAGGGGAAGGAAATGTGAGACCCTAGGGCCCAAATTTCGTAGGCCTCCTCATTTGCATACGATACTGTTACTGCTTGCTCCTTCCCACTGGGCTGACTGGAGGCTATTTTGTGTTGGCCCGATGGGGCATGGCTGGGAGGTGTGATGCAGGCAGGGGCAGAGCTGCCTGGCTCCCACGTGGGGACTGCCCCTCCTGGGCAGGTGGCTGATGGGATGGTGGAGAGCTGCTGCAGAGCATTGTCCTGCAGCATCTGGCCTGTGTTGGGATACCTGCCATCAGGATGCTTGGGGAGGTGGCAGATGGGAAAGCGGGGGGTGTGGTGGCAGGAATCAGTGTAGCTGGTTTTGGCACTTTGTTTAGCAAAATACCAGCCTGATCTCTGTGCCTGGGTCTTCTGTGTTTGATTTTTAACCTTGGGAGAGCTGGGAAGGGAGCTGACCTGGGCAGGCAGCCACAGTCCTGCAGTGTACTAGGTGGGTTTCTTGGAGAGCAGCCCGAGGGGTTTATCTTTGCCCCGCTGGCCACATGTGTTTGTGCCTACTTCCCTACCATGGCTTTCTTGGGAAAAGAAAGCGCTGCCTGATTTAGACTTCTCTTGGGCACCTGAGGTGCTGCCCTTAATTGGCAGGCTAATTTTTAATCTAGTCACTTGTGGTTGCAGGGGAAAAAGGTGTCCCAAAGGGTCGTCATGCCTGACAGTCCCTGACCAGCCCTGCCTCAGATGTGTACTCCCAGCAACCTTGTTTTTAAAAGAGCAAGTCCTGCAGACTGATTTCTCTGTGCTTCTTCTCAGCAGTGGGTAAAACTTCCTGCAAGCCCAGAGTTCTGGATCTCTGCTCTGGAGAGCTTGCAAGTGTGATGAGTTGGAGAAGGGTTCTGACTGCTGGATACAAGTGTCATTCCTCGACAGGAGTTGCACTGGCAAACCTCTGGAGGTGAATGTGAGGTGTATCTGCCCTCAACCATGATGTGTGGTCCTTGAATTCTACCAGCCTCGGCCACTGAGGAGTTTCACTGCTTTTGTAGTAAATGTGGTGGTAAATCTGCTATTGAGTTGTGGCAGAGCTCAGGAGGAGCCAGGTAAGCCTTTCTGCACATCCAGAGCCAGGTGGGGCAGTGGGGGATAAAGCAGTGAGGTGAGAGGAGACCTTGATGAAATGCAAGCTGGGAGCTGTGGTGGTGGTGGTGTGACTGACAGGGGATGTTGCTGAAGGGTCATCTGCAGCTGCTGCCTGATTTGGTGGCAGTTGTGGTTTCTAGAGGTGGGTTCTAGCCTGGACCTCTTGTGAGTAGCTGATTCTGCTGCAGGGCGTGTTTGAGGAGTTGGTTGGGCAGCCTAGCAGGAGTGCAGACTGGAGAACTGCACCCATCGGGGTATAGCAGGGGCAGCGATTGCCAAGGCCTGTAGTTCTTGGCTGGCACAAAGGAATTTCTTTTATCAACTATTGTCATTGTTTTAGTTTGCATTTTGATAACAGCTGGTACAGGTGGGATACCACTGGATGCATTTGGGTCATGGGTTAGTGGAGGATTGCAATAGAACATGCAGTTTGCAAAGGATCCAGACTGGTGCTTGGAGGCTTTTTTTGGATGTGTTGGATTGCCCCTGATATCATGCCTTCAAATGGCCACAGACCAAAACTGTGTAGTGGTGGAGGAAGTCTTGATTTAGGGCTTTTTGCTCCACTTACTACTTTTTGCTCATACATGGGATGAAAGCATCCCTGCCTGAGGATGCTTTGAACATGGTGCACTGTCAAAGGTAAAGAAATAGAAGTTCTTTGTGTGTATTTTTGCTGTTTTGGCATTGGCTGAGCCCAGGCCAGAGAGCATTGGCCTGTGTGAGGGGTAGTCCTTGTGACTTTCCAGCTGAATGTGTGTTTTGGGTAGCTGATAAGCAGGAGCAAGGGGCCTTGCCCCTGTCCCAGGAGACCTTGCCTTTCTGGCAGCCTCCCTTCACCCTCCTCTTCCAAGATCCTTGAAGAAAACAACTTAATGTATTGCTCCTTTAAAAGTACTGTTTTCATAGCTTCTGGGGGAGCCTTTGTCAGCCATGTTTCTCCACATACAATGCCTTGTGTGCTCCTCACATGAAAAATCTTCCATCTGGTCCTTCCCAGCTACTTCAGTAAACATCTTCCCAGCAATAAATAGGGTCCTTCAAGAGAAGGACCTGTACCTCTAATTGGAAAGAGCTTGGGGTAGTGGTGAGGTTGAATGATCTGTGTCAGGGTCTGAACTCCCCCAGACCCCACAGCAGGCTGTGCTTGCTGACAGGGACACGTGAGCTGGGAAGGGGAAAGCATTCTTCTGGGGTGGTGGGTGATGTGCCAAGGCACTGGGTGCCTGTTTGGTGATGATTGGTAATTCTGGCTGCCTGTTCTCTGGTGGAGGGGCTGTGTTAGAGCCAGGCACAGCTGCTGATGTCCCTTGAGGCTGCAAAAAACAAGGACCATGAGGAAAACGCTCACTTGGCTTTCGCCTTGGCTTCCACCTGTGCTCCCTGTTAGATGTTCTCTCCAGGTTTCCATCTGATATTGCTGCTCAGTGGGAGCATGGGGGTGCCACCAACTAGCTCACTGTGTGGATCTTTGTACATCTCAGCAACCTTTTTTATTGCTCAATGCTGTATGTTAGAAGCCAATACAGAAGGTTATTTATGAGAGCAATGTGTTCAGGTAAACACAGACTCCTTCAAAATCTTTCTCACAACAAGTGGTTGAATTGAGGTGGGTTCCAAGCTGGATTGATGTTTAACTTGAGATACTAAGAAAATACTTCCTCTATTTAGCTAAAGCAAACAAATCGAGAGAGGAGACCTTTTAAAAATGATTCGCACTCCAGCTGCAACCAGTACTGATTTTGTTTTTTTTTTTTTCTTTTACAGATATATTTCCAACTGATGGCCAGTCTGGTATGTATTAAGTAAAAATGGAACTCTTCAAATCCTCTCCCTTGCCTTCCCTACCTGCACTTCTCTTTCTGCAGAGCCGTCACTGACCAGATACAGGAGACTGGTAGAAGAATATCCAGTGGGCATTAATTTAAAATGAAACCACTGAAAAGTTCCTGGCCCCAGTAGGGTGTGCACTTTGCTGGGAGGGATTGGGGTCCCTCAGAGGGAGGGAGGCTACTCTGGGTAGAGATCCCAAATCAGACAAGGAATGTAGCCAGTATTCATGATCTCAATTCCTGCCTTTCCCAAACTGCCAGAAGGTCTGCATCCAGGTTAATGTTGTCAGAGTGCCAGGACTGAAGAAAAGGTTTATGTTTTACCAGTGATACCAAGATCAGTCAGGAAGATCTTGTCTCAGATCTGTAGTGCCACGTGGAGATATCCCATAGCAAGGCACTGGGAATGGGAGTCAGTGCCTGCCTTGGCTTTGTCCAACCCCAGGCACCTCTGACCTTCATCTTTGGCTTTGCATGGGATTACATTTCACCAGTTCGTGGATAGTGTGAGGATAAATTGCTGCTGATTGTGGAAGCGTTGCGTGATCAGGATTTGGAAGTGTGGAAGTCAACACCGTTGTCTTAAAGCTGAGTTCAGTAAAGGAAACTCACTGGTTTAGAGTGGTGTGGTGTAACAGTGGAGACAGTGTAATTTAACTTCTGAGTTGAACAGAGGGCTGGGGGTTGTGGATGTGTTTCCAGCTAATGAGGCTGTGGTATATAACTGAATCCACTGGATTAAGGCTTTGATTCCACATTTGTAAGTCTCAGGATTTCCTTGCTTTCATAACATGCGTAAGAGTGACATATTAAGACTGGTTTTGAAGGAGCAAAGGTACATTCCCATGTGTTGAATTCATAAGAGGCTTTTCTCCACCCTGCTTAAGATCTGTCTTTGTTGGGTGTTGGATTTTGTCTGCCTGTGCTGCAAAACTCAGAGATGTCCTTTGCTTGGCACAGCTCCATCCCCTTGTTCTCCAGCTGTTTGGGGACCTCCAGGGTGGGGCACAAATGTATGTCTGCAGCAGATGATAGTGCTTCAGAAAGCACATGTTACATGTCAGTAGCGTTACAGAAAACGTTACCTACAGAGCTTGGGGCTTTTTTACAATTCTGTATTTTTTTTAGGAGATAATTGAAAGCTCAAACAGGATTCCCCTTTATGGTAGCTGCACAGAACACTGCTTGGTCTTTCTCATACCTTCTCCAGTAAAACCTTAAAGCTGGTTGCCATGCCTTTTCTTCCCATGCATTGAGCTTATCTGGAAGCCCTGGTGTCTCAAAACACAAGTGTGAGCACAGCGGGTGAAGGCAGAGCAGCACTGGGAGCAGACCTGGCACCAGAGCTGTTGTGCACTCCTCAGGCTGCTAGGCTTGACTCCCTCACCTCCCTTTCGCTGTTGAATGAGTTAAATAGCTCAAGTCTGTTATTGCAAGTCACTGGGACTCCCATACCTATGTCGGTGCTTATTTTTTAAGGTTAATCTTGTAAGGTCAGATGGGTCTGTATGGCCGGTTTCCCCTCTGGGTGAGAAGTCTGTTGTTCTTCCTCCCAACGAAGCAGTTAGCATAGAATGATGGAGGATGCTGAGTTGCAGTAACAGGGTTGGGAATTGCATGGGTGAGGAGCCTGAGCCAAAAATCAGCTGTTTTGTAGGCACAGTAGCTGTAGAGTGCCCCAAAGCATGTTCCTGCTTGTTAGTGATGGATGCCAGAGGCGTCCTGCCCTCAGCCTGGTGTCACGTGTGAGCTCTATGGAGGTGGAAGGGCAGCAGTGTTTGTGTCCTGGTTACCTAATAGTGTTTGGAAATACAGTAGTTGTTGGAGAGAGGCCTCTGACTTTCCTTCTGTCTGGCACAGCAGTTCCTTGGTGTGTTCCTCTCCCACATCCAGCAACTCGGATTTGGCATCAGGAGAAGCCCCTTCAGACCGTGTGATCTGGAGTTCACATGGAAAGCTGCGAGACTGTAGCACCCTTGAGATATACAGGGCTGGGCTTGGCGGGGTGGTGGCAGGGCAGAGGGATACTCTGATATTCCCCACTTCTGCTGTTGGAGGAGGACTATGGGGGTACATTTGCAGCTCGGCTTCCTGTGGATGTGTTTTCCCTGAAACCAGACCCCCTCTCTGAGGTGGCTGATGCTCCACTTCCCAGAACCTGCTACTGTGTGTGATGGTGAAATTTGCTGCCTGTTCTGGAAGGGAATACTTCTGCCACTTCAAGCAGATCTCCTGCTGGCTTTGTGTGCTGTGCCTGTGCCCTCCTGGCCTCGTGTGCTGCAGCCAGCCCTCCTCCTCTCCATGCTGGAGGATCCCAGACATTTTAGTCTCACCTCTTGAGGAGCTGCCTCTGGGTGGTTTAATTGCTTTTCTTTGACCATCTGTAACACTGCTGTGCCCTTGTTGAAATCCAGAGACCAGAGCTGACTGCAGGGTGCAGTTGTGGATGTGCTGGTGTTCAGCAGAGCAGCAAGTGATGCTCTGTCTTGGTCTCTCTACTCCTGATGACTTTTTTTAATCTGCTGTTGCACTCTGACCTGTTCATTTTGTCCAATTGTCAGCTGTGGCTGGGATATCTTTCTTGAGTTATAAATGCCCCTTTGAATTAAACGCTGTGAAGTTTTCCATAAAGAGATGAGGGTGATGTTACCACTGCAAAGAAGTGGTTTTTAATGTTTTATAAAGAAGAGGAGGGGAGATAGATCTTTAAATTAGGAAAGTGCTGTGTTGCTCTCTTTTGTAATTGGGTATTCCTGACTTCTTTGGGAAGTCTGACTTACTGAGGTGTTTCACTGTTTTATGCTGTGTATTGACATGGGTGAGGCAGCCTGGATTACAGAATGGTTTATGTACCAGGATCAATGTGATTGAGCACCCAAGAAGGAAATTGGCAGCTTTTTTTATATTAAAGTTATTCAGAAAATCTGGAATTTCTCTGCATCTGGCTTAAGGTGGGAGGCACAAGTGAGGATGTTGTATTTTGTGCTTGGACAGCATGCCCTGAAATCAGCTTGGCTGAGGTACAGTAATCCTTAAGTAGCAAAAAAAGAAGCCTTTCTGCTTACTCTCAAAGATGGCAGGGATATTTAAGTGCCTTGTCATGGTTTTAATGCTCTGGATTTGCCAACAGGAGGAAGCCCCCATACCTGTGCTTAGTTTAATCCAGGTGCTTATGGGAACATAAGATTTTCTCAGCTCATTTCTGGAGACACCTTGCTTAGTGGGTGACCTAGGTCTGGCCCCCCTAAATTCCTGGGAACGTTTTCTGCACTTGCTCTCCTACCTCCAAATTGGTCTTGCTTTACTCCACCCCAGGAGACGGGGCTGGATTTCTGCCCGGTGGTGGCTCTGCCTTCCTTGGCCTCACAAGCTGAGCTGCTGCTCAGTCTCCTCATTATATGCAGTCAGGGAGGCAGGTCTGCAGCTGTCCTGGTGCAGGCTTTGAGGGCGAGGTTAAGTGGTCACTTAGCAAGTGGTCACTGCACAGGGGACACTCTGGTGCTACGGAGATGCCTCTGCAAAAACAACCGAAGTCAAGTAGCGGGAATCAAAGCGGGAGGAACTAGGAATGATGTTACTTAAATTACGTCACAGTTTCCTCTCTAAAAGCCCCTTTCTTTGAGATGACAGGTTTTTCCAGAGCCGTATTTTGTGCAGAGGTTGCACTTTTGCCTTGTACGACCCCTCGCTCCCTCCACTGCCACAGTGGGAGCTGTTCAGTGTCCTCGTAGGCAGTGTGAACGCTTGGAGCTGGAGGGTCTCGCGGCAGGCGCTTGGCTCTCGATTCCTGTCTCTTCACTGTTAAATATTTACAGTGAGACGTACCAGATGCTTCCCAGGAAGGGTTTTGTCAGCTTCCAAGTCCCCAGATGCAGCTGCAGAAGAGGCTGACGGCCATTAAAGGGATCATGTCAGCATGACAGTGACCTCTTCTCGCTCGTGCTGTGGGCGCCACCGGTTGTGCTGTCTCGTTGGCTGCCATGGGATGTGGGCAGAGAGCACCCCTCTGCTGATGACAAGAGATTAATGATGTCTGGTCCTCAGGCTTTTGTTTTTCTTCTCCTTTGAAGTTGTTTCACTGCAGTGGCAGAGTGTGATGCTCTTGGATTTTGTTGCTGCACACCTTTTCTTCTGGGACTGTCTCTCCACAGTAGTGGTGCCCATGTGTGACTCCTGCACGACTGCCTTGGTTCCCTCTCTGTCTTGGCATGGCAGTGTCTGTCTTGTTCACCTGTCTGCCCTGTGGAGAGAGGGGTGAGCTGATCCAGGGAGGCAGACTCCCATCACCAGCTCTGGACATTACCAGCCCTGGGCCTGCAGACTCCAGTAGCTGGAGCATTGCTGCTGAATGCCACTCCTGTGCTGGTCTCACTGGTCAGGTTTCCAGTGTGCCTCCTGCTTTCAAGATAAGGTCCAGGACCTTGGGCTGGGCCCTGTTTGTGGGCTTTGGTGCTTATCAGCTTTTGCTGCTGACAAGGTGACCCGCTCTGCAGCACTGAGGATGAGGAGGGAGGGTCCCTCCAACCTGGGCTGTGTGCTGGTCTGGCCCCCCCTTCCAAGGACAACCTGTAGATGCACACAGGGCTTGCTCCTGTCTCACTGTTACAGCTGTGCTGGATGAAGAAATTCCCGTGTCTCGTGGAGGTAGGATATCCAGAGGTGGCAGGTCCGCTCCTCTGGGGGGGGCCAGGGAGGAGCAGCCTCGCTAGGTCATCGTTTTTCCAACTAAATATAGTCTCCTGTGCTTTCATAAGGTCAGGATTTTTGTGTCACGTGACTGTCTTATCCCTCCTGCCCGGCGGTCAGAGTAGGGGATCGTGTGTCTGAATGGGTAATAATTAACTGTTAACTAGCTTTTCATTAGAGCCTGGCAGAACAGGCAGAGCGGTGCAGCAAAGGCTAAGAGGAGCAGGAAACTGCTCCTGGTCCCTCCTGGAGGGTGGACACCCCCTTTTAATTTGC